ACTGCAAGTGATTGTAACTAGTCCAAAGTTTGGTCCAACAACATGTAAAACTCTATTTACATTTAAAATTGAATGTCCTAGGCTCGGACCAATTGTCCGCTTCTGCATTACATTGTAACCAATTTTGGGGAAAAAAAACAAAAATAAAACCTGCGCCGGCTGTGATTCGAACCGGGGTTATCAGATTTTCTAAGCGGATACTCTCTCCGCATGCCAACGTCGCACATGAAAATTTGTTGACTAAGTGCCTACATATCAGCAAGTCGTTAATTGTACCCGTTGTCCGCTATTGCATGACATTGTATCCAGTTTTAGATCAAAACTCATAGCTTATGCATTACATTCGGACCACTTTTAGTACAATTCACCTGTTCTACATTACATTGCTTTATATTATTGGACTATCTTTGGTCTAGATACAAAGCTACTATACCTACGACTATATTTTTCGAGCGATTGGACCAATCTTTCCTTCAGGGAAATTAATCATATTAAGGGCCGTAAACTTATCTATTTTAAACTATATGTATAAATATATAAGTCTTTCTTAGTTTAAAAATTCATCTCTTATATAAATGAAAAAAGATCAAATTAAGCATATACAACTTTTCATGCCAAGTATAAGTAAATTCTCCAAAGGGCTAAAAAAAGGGCTAGGGGCAATTTTAAATTTATGTGGCCAAAAAAAGTATGTGGTAGCTAAATCTAGCCACCGAAGGGCTAAAACGGAAACACTGGTCCCTACAGTTTTATGTCGACTCTGAACGGCGATTTGGTTTTAATGGGAAGCTGTTTTTCATTTTCCTGCTGTGCGCACTGCTGACCATTACACCACAGCGGCCCATATACGAGACCTATATTAACATAAATCTTTTTGCATTTTGTTATCGATATTTTGAATATCGAGTCGTTTTAATCCGATATTAATGGGTACCCGATATTTTTAAAGAGATACTATAAATGAGTACCATATCGATACATTCTGTTCGATATCGTGTCTCTACTTCCATGAAGATTGGTCTGCTTCTTTTTTACGACGCCTTCCACTAGGCACCGAAACTACCACGTTTTCTTGCAGTTTTCTAAGTTCATCAGAAGATTGAGACTTTTAAAAGTGTATGAATAAGTATTATAGCGACTTTTGCAATAGTAGTTAACATTTGATGCTATTTTTTCAGAAAATATAAAGATTTTGCACTGTATTGTTAGTGGACATGAAACTACTTTAAATACTGGTACGTTACTCACCAAAAGCTAAAAATCTAAAAAAATTTACATAGCGCCTTTGCAAGTGGACTGCTCAAATTTGGAAACATGAATTTCCACGGGTTTTGTTAAAGAACGAACTATATTTTTATTTAAAAATATAACAAAAGTTCAATAACAACAAATATAATACGTTAAAACTTGGCAAAAAGTGGTTCGTTTATAATTTTTTGACCACTGTATGTATTTTTTATATCTTTAACACATCCCCCCCCCCTAAATACGGCCTTGCCTGGTTATATAAAATAAAACTAAAAAGTCAAAATAATATAATGTAAAAAAATATTTTTTAAATACAAGCTTAAGTACCACCCCCTCCCCCCTCCCCGCTTAAGTACCTAACCCGCTTAAGTAACCAACATTTTTGTGCACCGTGAATTTTTTGATGTAATCTGAAGAAAATCCCTCTCTTAAGTACCTCCCCGCTTATTTACCTCACCCGCCTAAGTATCTAAATTTTTCGTACCCTATTTCTCATTTTACTTATAATTTTCCCCTTTTAAGTGCTCTTTTAAGGTTCCTTAAACTACCTACATACATATCCTGAAATTCAGTGGCAGCGCTAAACACCTTCGGCAAAAAAATTCAAAAAAATCAACGGTAATTTTTAGCCACTTGAAACTTGCACATTATTAAACTAAAATTGAAAGGCCAGTACAATTTTATACTCAAAAAAAATCTTCTGGGTTAAAAGATTGAAATTTTGATACGTTTTTTTAAGTGTTCTACAAAATCTTAAGCTTAGGTTTATATGGTATATTTATACTATAAATATTTATAATCAATGACTTTTTAAAGAATATAATTTTTGTAAAAATTACATGCCGTTGCTTTATCTATTTTTTTTACAATTTTCTTTATTTGTTTAGATAATGCTATAATCTTGGTTTTAAACTGCGTATACTTCATTAAATATTCATGTTTTAATCAAGGAATTACATATTTTAACAAGAAGATGTATCTACATCAATAATTATGTTCGCTTAAGTACCCGCATCGAGGTACTTAAGCGTGTTCTTTTAAGTACCCAACCCGCCTAAGTACCTCAAAATGCTGACATTTTTCATGAGGTACTTAAGCGGGTTTTACTGTAGTTTAAGAAAAAACCTGGAGTCAGTAGCAATACTTGTTTGTCCTATCAATTTCATTAAGTAATTCAGCGTGTGGCGCTTTAAGCAGATTCATCGCATCTGGCTCAAGTTTCTTCTTTTTACTGCATTTTTTTTTGTTAACTTAATTCAGATATTATAGGATCTGATGATAGCAAAAAATAGTTTATAGCAATATCTTTTCTACTTCTGTGTTCTCTTATGAATTTAAAATCCTTATTTTTTGCTTCTTGTGCTTCCTCTCCTAGCTGACCAATAGGTGGAACTGCATGCTTTATAACCTCTGTAGTGCGATTCCCATTTTTCTTAACGACAATATTCGTATCGTTAGCTAACCATTCCGACAAGTTTCGTTAACTGCAATTCTCAAGCAAACTTTTAGCGAATATTGTCGATAGCTTTGACAGTTGGTCGATAGCCTCGCTACGAATATTTTGTCGTTGAAAAGCCTTACGCTAAAATTGGTTTAAGTTTTTATTGAGAAAAATTAGGCAAAATTCATCGGTAAGCAAACTATTATAATAAAAAATAACTATCTCGATACAATAATATTGGAACTACAAAATAGTTATATTTTCAAAACTTGCAATCGCTTGCACTTTTTTTAAATCTTCGGTGAAAATGTTTTTGTATTAAATAAAATCTTTCCTTTTAACCGAGATGTAACTTAAAGTAAATTATCTTTAATTTCCCTTTTCGCTTGTAAACATAATAGAGAAAAACAAATAAAAGCAAATAAGGGTAGCTGAAAGTAAATGAGATTATAAACTCCAAGAAATGCACGTTTGATCAAAGGACTTTATTTTATCGAAAATTTTTTTAAAATAATTTTCTTACTTTGGTAACGTCATACGTTAAAAGTACCCATAATTTCAGGATAATGTTCTTGTTTTGTCATGACTCACATACTTTACTGTAAATTTGAGTGGTGGTTTTTTGTTTTTGCTTATGTCAGAAATTTGATTTAAGTCGCCCTAAAATTGAGTTCTGATAGTTCGTCGGTTTGAAAGAAGCAGAAATGTAAGTTTTGTGTTTTTTCATATTTTTAAATAATTGTAATTATTTAGTGGTATTTATTAAAAGGTGTGTATTTCCCTTAATTAGAATTAATTTTAATAGCATTGTTCGCAGATGCTTTTACGACTGTGAAGAAAATGTCCCGCCAACGAAACGACACACAATTTCGATGGAAAATAATTACATGACTTCTTTGGATGCAAATACTATAGGCCTTGCAAGAAAGTAGCAGAAGAGGAAGTAGTTTGTGCTACAACGGAAACCAAGTAGACCAGAAAGTTGCAAATATTGCACAAGATTTATTAACAATCGCGAATGTAAAAAAAATTGACATACAAATTTCAAACTTTTTAGTCGAAATTTCTAGAAAAAACTCGGGTATACACTTTTACAGCCCATACAATATTAGTATCGCATTGTGCTAAGAATTCGTTGATTTTTGAGATTTTTTTTTGGAGGTTTTGCTCATTTTCTTCCGTATGTGTAAAATAACTTTCAAATATACTTTATATAAGAGAAAATGTGTAACACCGTCAGGAATTTAGAAGTGAAATCTTCTTCGAAAAACTCGATTTTTCAAGCGCTTCGCTTCCCTTATAAATTCGCTCGCGGCACCACTGCACACTGGCACATTTGCGAGAGAGAAATGCCAAAACTCGAAGAAGAAATTTTGCAAGAAAAACGTAAACAAGTTGCACAAGTGTGACGTCATACAAACAGCGGTTCTGTCAAATTCACTGAGAGCGGAATAGCGGTACCGAGATATCCGCCACCTTTGTTCTCTACCCCTGCAAAAATCGCGACTACTCCATGCATGCGTGTAAAGAGTACTCCCTAAGGACCAAGGAGTACTCCAAAATTAACCACAATTCATATAAAAAATATGATCCAATTAACATTGCGATGTCCTAGGGCAGGACCATATACTCCCTCCCTGCAATACATCAGAGTAGCACAAAACTACTCCAACATATTAACAATGGCATTGTTGTTATATTTTTCGTTTGTACACGCTTTTATTATTCACTTCTCAGATGCTTTTTCGAAATTAATAAAAACCAAAAACAAAAATTAAAAATTACATGTTGCCTCTGACGGCATTCGAACCCGAACATGCTGGGAGCTAACAACTAATAGCGAGCATCTCTACACGTTCAGCTACAGCCAGACATGCAAATGTGCTTTCAAATGCTCAACTTCAATCACATTTCGTTAAAACACGAGCAGTGATCGGGTAACAAACAATAACCTGGCACAGAGACACGAGTTGGTCCGCTACAGCATGACAGAGGAGTACTCCAATATACCACAAATAGACTACATGGTCCAACGATTTTTGCAGGGACATCGTGAGTGGTTATTATAATCAGTTATTTACATTACGAGGCACGTTGTCATTTTGAAAGCTCAAAAAAATTTGTACTTCACACCATTGCCGGCTTTATTGGCGCCTGCGCCGTTGGGCCGCATGCACGTGTTTCACTGGGGTCAACAGTGCAGTGTTTGTAATCAAACCATTGTCAATGGTTAAAACACCAAAACAAGTCCTGCGCACTGCATCTTAGAAGATAGCAACAAGTTGGAAGTTTTCTAATTCCAGGAATTTCGGAAAAACTCAACACAGCTCTTTGAGCTTTCAACACGCCTTCAAGGCTTTTTAAGCTTTGTCGATTTTCACGGACTTGAAATTTTATCAGTTGCTGTGCAGACCTGGTGAAGTAAAGATTTTAATTCGGAAAAACTCAGAGTGAAACTACTTTGTGTATAAGTATATATACATTTATGTATCTAAATTCATTATAGGCAAATTTTCAAGATCCATGAGACTGAAAATTTTGCTGTAAGCAAATTAAACATGAATGTAATGTAAATAATTAAGGAAAAGAAAGGAAAAATGCATACATATGTGCATGAATTTATGTGTTGAGAAGTGATAGTTTTCCAATTAAATGAAAAATTATTTAGTGATTCTTTGTGTAATAACGGGATTTTTTGAGTAAATGTGTTAATGAGTGCAAATATTTTTCCATATAGTGAAAAGTAGTCGATTGAAAAAATGATTTTCTGGCGTTCAAAAGCTATCTGCAGATACGATATTTCGCAGGAGAATATAGAAAAAAGTTGGTAAGTTGAAATTAATTTAGCTTTTGAGATATACATAGTTCTATATTTTAACAAAATATTTGCATTAAACCCGAGTATGATTTGCTGGTAAAGTGTGAAAAAAATTGGAAAAATACTCCAAATGATAGCGAAAAAATTTGTATGTATACTCAGCCAATTTCGTCTGCTTTAACGATTTTTCCAATGACCTTGTTGCGTATCAACGCGCAACGCGCGACATATACAAATGCATACTTACACCCTTCTACTTGCGTACATACATGCCAACATATCGACCTACCGTGCGAACAAACAGACAAACATTTGAGCTATAAATTGTACATATATACGAACTTACATACATACAATGAGTAATTTGTTGTACAGGTTAGAAATTTCAGAAGGAAAATATTAGAGCAATGGACGAAATTTTTTCCTATTGTTTAACTTTTTATTTAAAAAGAATATATAAGTACGTACCTATGTATTTTTCTTTCTGTCTGGTGTGAACCGGACGAAATCTGTATGTGAATTTAGTGAGAAATTGAGAATTTTGATATTTGAAACTTTAAATTTAGTCTAAGGCCCGTTTCCTTAAGTAGGTTTTAAAATTTATGTGCTCTTTAAACATAATTTTAAAAGCTACTTGAGAAAACAACACTAGAAAAGCTATATTCAAAAATAATTTTTCGTTCATTTAAGTATCCAAAAACGTCCAAAATACAACGCGGGTTTTCGAACGGAAAACGACTAAAATTACACAGTGCTACGAAAAAAACACGAAATACAACCGAAAAAAAATTTTGTAAGTTGTAGGTAGGGTCGAGTACAACATGAAAATTGGTTTCTTATAGTTCCTGAATACTAAATTTTTATTTTATTTAAAAACAGCCGTTATGTTCGTACGTGACGCACTTATCTATTAACAGCTTGACCATTTTTCATCCGATTTTAACAAGCAAAAAAATTGGATTTATAGACCTTTAAAATTATGTATATGTAGCTTGTTTGGAGTTTTTAACAGGTATAGTTTAATAAACCCCAATTTTTCTTATTTTTTTTAACTTTGACTCTCGTTAATATTTAAAAATGTTTATGAAAGCTGCCAAATATGTAGTATTTGTCTAAAAGGACATTTACTTTCAAGCAAATTGGTACTTTACTCAATGAAATCGAATAAAAATCGTCGAAGCTACTTAATTTAAAGAAATATATTTATCTACGGCCTTGAATTTGTATACATATGCGTATGTACTAGACTTTCAGATTTTTGAGCAGTGTGGCAAAAGGCGGATCTCCATAGCATGGTTATACGTATGCATGCGTTCGAAAGAAATATTTAATATATGTATGTACACATTTTTATAGAAGCACCTACATAATAACGCATGAAAATGTAAGAAAACTGTAAGAATTTTGATTTATAACCGTAAATGTCAAATTCAAAGGAATTCATTGCAATGGCTCTTTAGAAAAAAAATGATGTTTCATAAAATTCCGGGAATTTTCCTTCATATAAAAATAGATTTTAGCGTTATATGTAAGAAAACGCGCAACAATTTCCACAAAAAAA